CTTAATTGCCCCGATTGTCACTCTTATCCTTTAATGGGAAACACAACTCCCTTTGCTGCAGACGGGGGAATCCTGAAGATGAGCAGAGGTGGGGGGACTGCGTTCCAGCCCTTCCCATCGGGCTGAAATTACACAGAGAGCACCAGCAGGAACGTCTCCCAGTGGCTTTGCGCCAGGGCGGGCTGAAGCACGCCCAGAGTCAAGGCTAACGGTCCTCTACCTTGGTACTGAGCTACCCAAAACTCCAAAAAAACCCCACAACCCACCCCAAAAGTTCAGACAAAGGGCGGCCGTTCCGCTAAAACCAAGCTTGGGATACTGGTCTTCTATCCTGGTTTTACCCACCCAGCTCCCAAGGTCTCACAGCTTCTCTCCACTTGCTCATCTCCAGGAACGGGTAAGAGGTGGACCTTCCTCAAGCAGAAAGACCGTGAAGCTCAACTTATTGTGCTCATCAAGGTGGCAAGTGGCACAAAAAGAAGCTGCACAGCCCCATGTGCACTCCCAACAGCATGAGGTACAGCTGAAGGATCCACCAGCCAACAGTGGAGCAAAAGGGCTTTACTTTAGGCTCCAGGAAGAGCTTAGAGCCCCTTCCAGTCCCTCAAGGGGCTCCAGGAGAGATGGGGAGGGACTCTGGATCAGGGAGGGGAGCCCTAGGACGAGGGGGAATGGTTTTAAACTGAAAGAGGGGAGATTTATATTAGGGATTAGGATGAAATTCTTTGGTGTGAGGGTGGTGAGAGCCTGGCCCAGGTTGCCCAGAGAAGCTGTGGCTGCCCCATCCCTGGAGGGGTTCAAGGCCAGGCTGGATGGGGCTTGGAGCAACCTGGTCTGGTGGGAGGGGTCCCTGCCCAGGGCAGGGGGGTGGAACTGGATGGGCTTTAAGGTCCCTTCCAACCTGAACTGTTCTATCATTCTATGGAAAGTGCTGTAGCTGATTTTCCTGCTAAGCAAATCCCACCTCTCTCTACAACCTACTACTTTCATCTCCCCAACTCCTCAGGACCAGACTGAAGTTGGCAGATGGACCAGCTCACTTTCTAGCACCATCTAACACAACTTTGCAGAATGTTCTTTTTTTTTTTTTGCCCCTTGAGTTAAGCACGTGGAGGAGACCATCCACGATCGCAAGAAATACCTGCAGTTCACATTTTAGTTCACAGAAGAACATGCTTTGCAGCAGCCTTGGTAAAATTTCAACATGCAAGTCTTTAAGAAGAATGACCAAAAAAAAGCCGTGCTCCCTCTGGCTGATCTCTGGTTGGAGCATTCAAATCCCCTTTTCTCATCAGAACCATCAATTTTAGCTTCTCTTTCCTGTGTTCCTGTGAAAGGTCTGGCCACATTTAGGCAGTACTAATTAAGCTGATTGTGAGAGTTTTCCTGATCAAAAGGTGCTCTACCCGTGAGGAGTCCCCAGGACACCAGACGTTCATTACGGAGGGCACACATGGCAAATTTTGAAGGTATTTTAACATCAAAATCCCCCACCTGAATTCATTTTCACCTCTTTCAATACAGCATTTTTTCCAGACTGCTCAACGTTCACTGATCCAACCTAAAAGCAGAACGAGTCAGGAGCCCCGAGCAGCTCTTAAATCCCACCTTGCACTTACTTATTTTGATTTCTGCACCTCCAAGGCCCTGGAATTGATAACTGGCAGAGAGAAAGCATATTTGAACCGCACCAGTGGCAGCACAACAGCTGGCAGGAGGTTGAAGAGCAGGAGGTGGGACCTCCTGTCCCAGGGACCAAGCCGCAGCGCTGCTGGAAGCAAGAGAGAGCTGCCACCACCCTGATGTCCACCACCTCAACGGCTCCACCAAAGCTCTTCTCTCCAAAGCACAATTCTTCAACCTTTGCTGTCTCTTCACCGAGAGAGACAGGATCTGTTCCCTATTTCTCCAAGATAAATGCTACTGTCAAGCCTTGGCAGAAAATTAGAGTAACAACTACGCTCTCCAAAAAGGTGACGGGGATGAATTCGTGCAGAGCCAACTTCTACTTCAAAGACAACCCTCCAGCTCCAGCCATGGGAAAGACAAAACATCGACAGATCTTTCCAGAGTGCGCCGTGGATATTTAAGTTTAACGCAGATTTATGTACCAAAACAGCCTCTCACCCCAATTCTCCCTTCTAAAACCTATCCACGTTTCCTTGTGCAGCTCCGGAAGCGAAATACAACAAACACTCCTTGGATTTACCTTTTAATATACCAATATTAACCTTTTTTTTTTTTTTTTTTTAAGAACATATATGCGATGAAAAATTAACAATGGTCTTAATTTAAAGACTGACCACAAAGCCGTTCCAAATCAGACATACAGATTTTGCATCAAGAACATCACAATTATAAACCTTTGCATCTTACCTTTACAGATTTTGCATCAAGAACATCACAATTATAAACCCGGAGGGGGAAGGAGGCCATTTTATTTTATTTCTGTATTTATTTTCTACAGTCAGTTGCCCAATTTTCTCCCTGGCACAAACCGGAGACGAATCACCACCTGAATGAGACGGCCCTGTAAAAGCAACTGTAAAATGCCAAAAATGACAAACCCCGAGGAATTGGGCACTTTGTGGAAGGGGAATCCACTCGGATGCTTTGGGATGGAGGCACAAGGATCTGCTGCCTTTTTCCTGACCCGGGACTATAGATCAGTTTAGGAGGGTTGTTTGGGCTGCTTCCACCTAAAAATATGCCACCGACTATTTCAAATCCTCTGTGCAAAATGTGTATTTTTTACTGGCTGAGAAAGAACCAAGGAATCACGGCAGCTTCACAGCTCTGTGAAAGGAAGAGATTCAACTCAGTTATAAGCTCTGCCAGGCTGAGATTGGCCCCAAAAGAACAGCCCAAACTGAGGTGACGACTGCGTTGTCACAGCCACCCTTTCAAAGAGAAATTCTCCAGGGGAAATACGCCGGTATCTCCCGATGCTCCAGCACCAGGACATCCATCAAGAGAATCATAGAATCATTGAGGTTGGAAGAGACCCTTGGGATCATCGAGTCCAACCATCTCCCCTACTCTACAAAGTCCTCCCCTACACCATGTCCCTCAGTACCCCATCTAAACGGCCCTTAAACACATCCAGGGATGGTGACTCCACCCCCTCCCTGGGCAGCCTGTTCCAATGCCCAACCACTCTTTCAGTGAAAAATTCCTTCCTAATGTTCAGTCTAAACCTCCCCTGTTGGAGCTTGAAGCCGTTCCCTCTCGTTCTATTGTTAATTACCTGTGAGAAGAGACCAGCACCAACCTCTCTACAGTGTCCTTTCAAGTAGTTGTAGAGAGTGATGAGGTCTCCCCTCAGCCTCCTCTTCCTCACACTAAACAGTCCCAGCTCCTTCAGCTGTTCTTCATATGATTTGTCTTCCAGGCCCTTCACTAGTTTCGTTGCCCTCCTCTGCACTCGCTCCAGCACCTCCAGATCTCTCTTGGATTGAGGTGCCCAGAACTGGACACAATAGAGGAAGATCCTAATAGAATCAGAAATCACAGATATCAGAAAGAAAGTTGATGTGAATGAACCTGAGAGGCTGCAAAGGAGAAAGAACGAGCGACGACCCTTCTTTTATCCGCTGACACCCACCGTTGCAGACAGAAGTTGTCACCGCAGCGGCCGTCCTCCCAGCACCCCGACACCCCCTCCCCACAGCAAGGAGGGAATGGGAGGCAGACTGGAGGGAAAAAAAACATTGCCTGGCAATTAAACATTCCCAGAGAAGCGGCCGGGGCAGTTTCCAGGCAGATCCCAGGGGAGTTATGAAGCGAAGCATCCCCTCGGAGCTATTGTTCCAATATGATTTTCATTCCCAGCACATCCACCACGGCGCAGGGGCAAGAAGATAAGTCTTAGTGGGGGTGAGACAAATAGGAGCAGATGTTTCCTGTTTCCAGCCTGACTTTCATTTGGTTTCTGTCACCGCTGCCTATCCAGCTTAGGAGAGGGGGTGAACCGTGATGCCTAACACTTGTCCTATTGTTTGGGGGGGGGTTTGGCAAAACGGGGAGGAATAAGGTTGCTCGTGGTGGAACAGAAAAAGAGCCCATCGAGTAGGATGTGTCTGTAACGGGCAGCAAGGGAGGTTTCAAAAGACAGTGAGATTCCCCCTTACCTGGTAACAAACGTTTTATCAGCGGAGCTGGGACAGAGATTCCTTTCTCAGCCCGAACTTGGGATCACCTTTCATATCGAAGGGCAAGAGAGAACAGTCTGGGCAATTTTATTTCTAATTTTGCTGCTTTACATTTTCTATTTCAAGTTAATTTTCAGCATTGAGAAAAAATCCCAATGCTCTTAAGAAATGTAAAGCTTCTCCAAAAGCCTAAGCTGTACATTTCAGTGGCAGCGGGTCCCTTAGTTAAATTACAAGCCAAGATCCAGGAGTTTTTCCAGCAACGGTAACTTAGGGGAGTCTGTAAATGTGCATTAATAGGGTGCCTGTATCCCTGGCACATTGAAGCTGTAACTGGGAATTTCTGTAAATTTACAAAGTGTTTTACAAATCAGTACTACACCACCCCGCTTTGCTGAAGAGGATTCAGATGTGGAAAATCCTGCTTCATAGCCCTGGTTCTGCGCGTGCCTGCAATGTAAAACTGTAACTGTTCTGATAACGAAAATTAAAAAAAAATAATAAAAATACAGCAAGGCTGAAAGTTACATCTTTTCTTTCAACAGAGTCACTGCCTCCTGCATGGAGGAGGTGGAAAACCTGAGATTTAGGCAGAAGAGGGGAAGCAATTGGAGCTCTATCCCACAGGTCTCTGCCTGGAAGGGGGAACCATCCTCCCAGCTGCTGTATGTCTCCCTTTGCATCAAAATAATTTAAGCAACAAACCGCTTTGCCCTTTAAACCACGTGAGGACAGACAGATTTTTTGCTGCTGATGCTGTAAAAAAATAAACATTCGTTTAAACCACGTGAGGACAGACAGATTTTTTTTGCTGCTGATGTTGTAAAAAAATAAACATTCATCTCATTATGCAGGAAAGAAAAAAATTTAAAAAAAAGATGATTTGTTACACAGTTACTTAAGACAACGATTAAGCTCAAAAGCCAGAGGCTCAACCAACTGCACGGGCAATGAGCTTCTCCCAAAAGAGAGCAGCCATACACTGCAGGCAATTGCTTTGAAAGGATGGATGCTTACAAATCAGAGAACTCCAGCAGATTATTTGATAGAAGAGGGCAGTCATGCCAGTCAGCCCACAAGAGAGCGAGATTCTGGTTTTATTCTTCCAAGTGCACAGCCTCCTTTGGAGAAAAGCCCGTGCCTGCCATTTCTGGGAGGACCCATGAATAGATTCAATCCTCTGGGAGCACCGGAGGAGCAGTTGTTCAGCTTTCCATGACATCTTTGAGCAACGTAAAGGGAAGATAGCATACCAGAGGAAAACATTAATTCCCATCTGCCTCAGGTGTAACCTGTTCTCCAGCGACTTTTGTCTTCAGGGCCTTATGTTCCCCATAGCACCTTTCTGGCCAACTTTTTCGTCGCTCAGGTTTTGTCTCACCTCTTCCTTCACAAGCTGCCAATATTGGGAAAGCTCTTCAGTTTTTCAGGAAAGTCATCTTTGTAGAGGACGGGGTCAGCGCGGTGCTCCACCACCTTCAGAGGCATGGTCCCGAAAACGGAGGCGAACTTATTGATGCATTCAGATCTGGTGAAAAGGGGAAAGAAAAGCAGCGTTAATTAAGAGCCCCAACAACTGGGCTGGCTGGCTACCAGCTCCCACACCAATATAACCAGTAGAAACCTTCCCTCTCTGCGCCTGGAAGCATTTCAGGCAGCGTCTAAAAAGAGAGCCCCACTGCAGAGAGAACTGAAAAGAAGGTGGTGTTCTTTGATTTATCCATTTAATCACAGAGACGAGCAAGGGGATGCTGGCAGCAGCACATGTGCACATGGAGGTCAAAGCTTCCCTTCTCCCTCCCCCTTAGAATTCCAGTCATTCTTCAAGCAATGTACATGCTGTAAACCAGAACAGATTAACTGCCAACATGTCTCTTAAAGGGCCACTGTTGGGTCAATTTGGCTCGTAACGACGGTTTCGCAAAAAAAAAAAGCGAGCCCTTGTGAAAATGGGAGTTCTGAAAAGGAGGAAAAAAAAAAAAAAAGAAAAAAGAAAAAAAGGCTGGGTTTTATCAGGCTTCTTCAGAAGCTCTGTCTTTTCCCACAAAAATAAACATGCCTCGGTGTACGGGCAGCGCTGATTGTAACTTAGGGGTGAAACGGAGTGAAAACTAGAAAATGAAACCAATTAGCTTATTTTCCTTGTCTAAATAAGGAGCGACTGAGCAGCGAGGCATCGCGTCAGCACAAAGAAAGATGGGGGGACCCGTTTGATGGCTTTCACTTTTAATAACCTCAGGTGTCAGCAACGCTGCGGAAGGGAAGAGCCATGTGCTCCAAAACCCCAAGCAAACGGATGTTGAACCTCCCATCGCTCCTTTAACTCCGTGGCGGAACCAAAGGCAGAGGAACACTGGGGTCACCTCAGCTAACGTCAGCCGTGGACTTCATAAAATGGCTTTTAAGACCTTCAGACACCAAGGATCGTGACGACAGCCCCCCGACACGTAACAGAAGACAGCTACGGGAGAGAGGGTCACGTTCCTTTTGCCGTTGGAAAGGGAAAACAAGAAAATAAGAAAGAAATGAGTACTCAGGCTCAGCTGCAGGCGGTCCCAGAGCAGGTCTCTCTCTCCCTTTCCAATCACTGCACCCCTCTCCCGACCCCTTCGAAGGGTTAGGGGGTCACTCAGGCTCCAGGATCATTTTCCTCACCAGACCCGCTCAATCACACCAACTGAGTGTGACAGTTTTGTGACGGGGACTGCTCAACGCTGCCCCAAACGCTCTTTTGAAGTAGATGGGACGGCAAGAGCGGTTTTCAAAATTAATTCCTCAGCCCTCTGAGCCATCATCCCCTGGCTCCCTCCCTGACCAGAGTGAGCGAGTGGAGAACACAAAGCCTGGGCTGTTCAAACGCTAACAGCCCTTCCCAGCGGTTTCAAGCTTTAACGGGCAGATTTCAGGCCATTTTCTGGCCTGAGAAAAGTGTCAGAAAACTACTTCAGACAGGTGAGACTTGAATAAAACATGTAACGCAGGTAAATGCATTTCATAGAATCATAGAATCAGAATCATTGAGGTTGGAAGAGACCCTTGGGATCATCGAGTCCAACCATCTCCCCTACTCTACAAAGTCCTCCCCTACACCATGTCCCTCAGTACCGCATCTAAACGGCCCTTAAACACATCCAGGGACGGTGACTCAACCACCTTATTTCACTTTCGGCTACCTTCTCACCCCCTCATACTTCTTCTTGCCTCCAGAGTCAAATCTTTGGACTAGGAAAGAAATGAAAAGGGATTCAGCGCGTAAGAGGAAATGGTGTGTAGTGGGAAGCAACCTCCAGAGCTGGCACGGGCACTATGTGCTCCAGGGTAGCACAGATCTCAAACAGCATCAGGCAGGACGGAAGCAGAGAGACCCAAGTAGCAGCTCAAGGTCTGCAACAAGGAGATGAACCACCCAGAGGGTGAGATTTGGGCACAGAAAGTTTATAACAACAGGCAGAGGAGGAAATGATGGTGCCTCTGGACTGGGCACTGGTGAGGCCTCACCTCGAGGGCTGTGGTCAGTTCTGGGCCCCTTCACATAAGAAGGACATTGAGGTGCTGGAGCGTGTCCAGAGGAGAGCCACCAAGCTGGGGAGGGGTCTGGAGAACAAGTCATCCGAGGAGAGGCTGAGGGAACTGGGCATGTTCAGTTTGGAGAAGAGGAGGCTGAGGGGAGACCTCATTGCCCTCTACAACTCCCTGAAAGGAGGGTGGAGAGAGGTAGGGGTTGGCCTCTTCTCCCAAGGAAATAACGACAGGAGCAGAGGAAATGGTCTGAAGTTGGGGCAGGGAGGTTTAGATTAGATCTTGGGAAGAATGACTTTCCTGAGAGGGTGGTCAGGCACTGGAACAGCCTGCCCAGGGAGGTGGTGGAGTCACCATCCCTGGAGGTATTTAAGAAACGTGCAGATGTAGCACTTCAGGGCAGGCTTTAGTGCCCCAGATTTGGGGTTGGGGTTTTTTTGTGTGTGTGTGTGGTTGGACTCGGTGATCTCAGAGGTCCTTTCCAACCATGAAGATTCTGTGATTCTGTAACTGAGCGTTTTCTCCAGGAACACTAAGCAGCTTCTGTTGCCTCCAGGAGATACCCAACGGGAGATACCTTAAAGTCCTGTGATTCTCAGAGAAGCTAAGCAGCTTCTGTTGCCTCCAGGAGATACTCAACGGGAGATACCTTCAAGTCCTGTGATTCTCACACTTCCACATCTGCTCCTCCTGAGAAACGTGGCTACCGATGACCCACGTTGTGCGTCTTGGAGAAGCCTGGTGGCAGGAAAAGCAGAGACTTGGCCGGCGAGGAGGGAGGTGCGCCGAGCTACGTGCGTGTGAGAAGTTTGCACAGCTGCTGGCCCTCACTGGCTTCTGGAATATAAGAATCCTCCTGGTCTAACTGGTTCAAATCCTGCCTCTGTCAGTGATGACTGAAGGACATTGTAATGCAACAGCTGCTGGGTGGCCGGTGTGAAATGAATTCGTTATCTCGGGCTGCTGCCCGGCGGGCAGGTGGCCACGTCAGAGCAGCCATTGTCCAACCACAACTAAGCGGCACCCTCAGAGCAAAAGACAAAACTAAATGGGTAGGGGAGACAAAAATTGACCTCTCTCCCCTCCAGAGGCCATACGCTCCAACCAAAGATGAGGCCTTATAAGAAAATATCAAGATGGAATCCTCCTACAGATAAACTTCACTCTGGTGGCAAGACCATTTGAGCATACTGGTATGACAGCTTTAACCACCAAGAAACCACTTTGCTGTTAAAGAAATGAAAAAGTGAAAAATGGAAAAACCAGTAAGTTCTAAGCACTCTGGCTGAATCGAAAAAGTCCTCAGGAAATAAACTCAAAGATGAGAAACAGGCTTTTTAAGATGAAAGAAATGTCATACACAAGCCACAAAATGTGTTTGAAGGTAAATCGCCTCTTGCCCAAAATTTCATCTCCTGCACGCAACTAAATCACTTGAATTCCAAAGCCTTTACCACTTTGGGACAATATAAATCAGAAAGGCTATCTAGAACATTAAACATTCAAAGTTGGGTAGCCAAGAGAACATAACGTGTCATCTTAACATGGAGGGAAGGTGTTTTTCTTGGCTATGTCGCTACTTTTGCAAATTTGTACTAAGAGAGGCATGTTTGCGTCCAAGAACTCCTCATTTTTTATCTTGCTCCGTTGACAACCAACATCAGCTGTGCTCAACAAGGACTTAAAATTGTATGAACGGAGAAATGGAGAGCCCCGTTGTCCCTGGCAGACCCGGGGAGCTTCATGTCTGTTAAGGCTTCTCCTAATGGGCAGTTCCCCCTTGTAACCCAAATATTTTTTGGCAGGATGACTCTGCACCTGCAGCCTTTGGCCAACTCTTACCTCCTAAGTGGATGGCTTCCTGTTCTGACTCTAACAAATATTTACGTGTCCTAAATAAGGCACAAAGCAGGAGCAGCTCAGCCCTTCCTTGTATTTACTGAACAGGCAGTTGCCTGTAAAAAACAGGCATTTTACAGAGTTCTCCATTTTTGAGAGCCAGATGCAAAGATGCTCAAGGCAGAAAACTTGTTGCTACTTAAATAGCACCTGTAAATACGCAGGGATTATGGGATCCTCCTACAGCTTCTGCTGTGACTTGATGGAAAGGCTAACCTAGGGCAAGAAGGGGATTTCTTGCTTCAAAAGCTTTCTTTTCTGGAGAAGAGGAGGCTCCAGGGAGACCTAATAGCAGCCTTCCAGTACCTGAAGGGAGCCTACAGGAAGGCTGGGGAGAGCCTGTTTAGAAAGGCCTGTAGTGACAGGACGAGGGGCAATGGCTTCAAGCTGGAGGGGAACAGATTTAGACTGGAGATGAGGAGAGGGTTCTTCACTGTGAGGGTGGTGGAGCACTGGAACAGGTTGCCCAGGGAGGTGGTTGAGGCCCCTTCCCTGGAGATATTCAAGGAGAGGCTCGACGAGGCCCTGGGCAACCTGGTCTAGTTGGGGGTGTCCCTGCTGACTGCGGGGAGGTCGGACTAGATGGCCTTTGGAGGTCCCTTCCAGCCTGGGCAATTCTATGATTCTATGATTCTATGATTCTTTAGTTAATATATTTTAATGATGGAGCTTGATTACCCTAGGGACTAAAGTCTTTATTTCTCTCAGAGAAATTACCCAGCACTGTTGGCTTTCCCATGATTTGCTGTAAATATCCTTTGGTATCGATCAGAAAAAAAATATAAATAAATCCCTTAATAAAAGACAGAGTTCAACCTTTCCTTTGTTTCTACTGAGAGCGTCCAAAGGCCCAACAGAACCAGGGAGTTACGCGTTTTTCCTGGTCAGATCTCCCCAACTGACTTCTCAAACCTTTCCCACTTCCAAAACAATCCCCAGGCAGTTGCTGGGCATCCATCTGCTATTTCTGACCCTGAAACCCAACACTAAAATGTCGTACACAGCCATGACAACCCCGCCAAACTGTTTGTTTCATAAACACTAGGTTGAGCCCTGGATATCCGAGCAATTAATGAGCTCGGACTACCTGCTCGCTATTTCGGAATGCCAAGAAAAAAAAAAAGAAGTAAATAAAGAAAAGACAAAGAAGTTGGACACTTTGGGGGAAGGTAGGTGCTCATGAAACTGATAATGGCTTTTTGCCGATACCCCAGCTATTGTTCTCGGTACCCAACACTGTAAAGTTATCTGTACAAAGTTATTCTTTTATAATATGATAAAAGATAAATGTAAATATCCTTCGGTATCGATCAGAAAAAAAAATATATATAAATAAATCCCTTAATAAGAGACAGAGTTCAACCTTTCCTTTGTCTCTGCTGAGAGCGTCCAAAGGCCCAACAGAACCGGGGAGTTACGCGTCTCTCCTGGTCAGATCTCCCCAACTGACTTCTCAAACCTTTCCCACTTCCAAAACAATCCCCAGGCAGTTGCTGGGCATCCATCTGCTATTTCTGACCCTGAAACCCAACACTAAAATGTCGTACACAGCCATGACAACCCCGCCAAACTGTTTGTTTCATAAACACTAGGTTGAGCCCTGGATATCCGAGCAATTAATGAGCTCGGACTACCTGCTCGCTATTTCGGAATGCCAAGAAAAAAAAAAAGAAGTAAATAAAGAAAAGACAAAGAAGTTGGACACTTTGGGGGAAGGGAGATGCTCATGAAGCTGATAATGGCTTTTTGTCGATACCCCAGCTATTGTTCTCAGTACCCAACACTGTAAAGTTATCTGTACAAAGTTATTCTTTTATAATATGATAAAAGATAAACACATTTTTTCCATTCAGCTTCTATCCTGACCCTAAAAATAGCTAGTGTGTATACACATACATATATATATATATATATTTATGAGCCATAAGAGCCTTAGTCACCGCTAAATTAGGAAAATTTGTTCTAGGAGTTGCTATCGTTTATTATCCACTTAAAATTAATAGCTAGCTTAGAAGATTAAAAAAAAAACAACAAACAAACCATGAAACCCTTTCAGATTTTCAAATAACTCCCTTATATTGAAGGTAGATAGTAACAGCACAGGGTAAGAAGGTGTTAGGCATGAAGTTTCAGTATGATCTTCAAAATTAAGCCTGAATACACCCAAGCTGTATATCCCCCCCTAGATCTCCTGCCCCCAGACTCTATCCCAGGACGTACTCCTCCGGCCGGGCAAATAAATGTGGATTTGCCATCAAACTAACATTTCCCACAACCCAGTTATCTCCAGTGTTGGAAACTACAGAGAAGCCAAGCAACGGTTTAAAGATGTTCTCAATAAACTGTCAATGATACTTTACGCTGAGGATACAAGAATTGCTAGAGACGTGGAAACATGACCCTTACCCCACATCATAATGCACTTTGGAGCAAAAAGGCACTTTTTCATCTGCTGGTTTTATTGTGTTTACCTTAATGAGAACCTAGTTCGTGACCAAAATTCCTATGTGCTGTTGTAATGGCACTCGTAGGATCACAGGAAAGCTCAACTGGCTTCAGGTAGTCCATCCTGTAAAGCCAGTGCTGAACTTCCAGACACAGGACAACCTCTTGCGCTTCCCCTTCAGCTAAAATTTAAGATTTACAAAGATTCCAGACCCTTTCTTAAGAAGTTTTCTGCAGAGTAATTTTTACCATCTTCCTGGGGGATGTTTTACATCTGACTAGCATATTCCTTTTTAAATCTGCTGGTTTTATTGTGTTTACCTTAATGAGAACCTAGTTCGTGACCAAAATTCCTATGTGCTGTTGTAATGGCACTCGTAGGATCACAGGAAAGCTCAACTGGCTTCAGGTAGTCCATCCTGTAAAGCCAGTGCTGAACTTCCAGACACAGGACAACCTCTTGCGCTTCCCCTTCAGCTAAAATTTAAGATTTACAAAGATTCCAGACCCTTTCTTAAGAAGTTTTCTGCAGAGTAATTTTTACCATCTTCCTGGGGGATGTTTTACATCTGACTAGCATATTCCTTTTTTAAATCCAGTCTAAATCCTTTGGTGCTCACCTTGGTGGTTTTGCCCTTCAATGCCTAGCGTGATGCTTCGTTAATAATCAATCAGCCAAACTATAAACGTGTTTGTGTGTGTTGTGTGATGTGCGTTTACACACCAGACACGTGTACACACTCTTCTTGTAAATCAGCCCCCAGCCTACTAACCAGGTTTGAGTTAGTTCACTGCATATATTACAACACACAGATAGAATTTACATTACTAAAGGCCAGTGAATATATCCAACATTTTAAATTTGCCATGTACTGCAGGGAAGGACAGAAAAAAGCTCATTGTAAAGAGCTGGTAAGAGAACCGTGATACATCTTTCAGTGCAAATCTGAAATCATAGAATCGTAGAATCATACCATTGTTTAGGTTGGAAGGGACCTTTCAGATCATCGAGTCCAACCATTAACCTAACATTAAAAAAACCAAAAAAACCCATCACTAACCCATGTCTCTAAGCACTGTGTCAACCCGGCTTTTGAACACCTCCAGGGATGGTGCCTCAACCCCTTCCCTGGGCAGCCCATTCCAAGGCTTCATAATCCTTCCCGTATAAAAACTTTTCCTAATCTCCAACCTGAACCTCCCCTGGTGCAACTTGAGGCCGTTTCCTCTTGTCCCATCACCTGTTCCTTGGGAGAAGAGACCGACCCCCCCTGGCTACACCCTCCTTTCAGGGAGTTGGAGAGAGCGAGAAGGTCTCCCCTCAGCCTCCTTTTCTCCAGGCTCAACACCTGCTCCCTCAGGCCTCAGCCTCTCCTCACAAGACTTGTGCTCCAGACCCCTCACCAGCTCCGTTGCCCTTCTCTGGACCCGCTCAGCACCTCAATGTCTTTTTGGTGCAAAGGGGCCCAAAACCAGACACAGCCCTCAAGGCGGGTCCTCCCCAGTGCTCAGTCCAGAGGGACCATCACCTCCTGAGTCCTACTCACCACGCTGTTCCTGACACAGGCCAGGATGCTGGTGGCCTTCTTGGCCACCTGGGCACACTGCTGGCTCCTGTTCAGCCAACAGGTGACCAACACCCCCAGGTCCTTTTCCACCAAGCAGTTCTCCAGCCACTCTGCCCCCAGCCTGTAGCGCTGCAGGGGGTTGGTGTGACCCAAGGGCAGGACCCAGCACTTGGCCTTGTTGAACCTCATCCCATTGGCCCATCCCATTCTGTGCCTGCAAATTATTTTTCCCCACATTTGCAGGAGAGATGTGATAGCCCAAGAAGCCTAAGGTGAAATGATTTTGTCAATCCTAGATCTCAGGTTAATTCCACCTAATAACTAGGAGCTACCTTTATTGTCAGATAGCCCTTTTCAAACACGGCGGGGGGAACAGCTTTGTAAAAGTAAAGAAACTTTCCCTTTTTTACACATTCAGAAGCCAAGGCAGAGGGAAGTTGAGTGTCTTGGTCAAGGCAGGGAAGCCATTTTACCATCAAGCAAGGATCGCAACCCTTATGCTTCCCAATTTTCAGTATTTCAGTCTAAACAGTCACTGCCTGTCCAAATGCATACTTCACTTCAAAACTAAATCCCCACAAAAATACAATAATACTGCTATTGTTAAAAATGCAACATGCAATTGTGCAGGCAAACACCCTTCATCAGTGGAAGCAATGGAGGAAAGGCATTAGTGGAGGAAAGGCAATGTACAAACATAAAATATTAGCATTATTAATAACTGACATCCTTCTTGCCTGGTTTAAAAAAAAGAAATCTCACACTTATTACAGTTGGTGTTCCATGTTAAAACAGAAACATGGTATTACTGGGAGTACTCCCAACAACCTGAATTTCATAGACTCGTCCTATAGGTTTTATAGCAAAGCTGCTAAAAAAATGTGCCCTTCTCCAGTCCTTTCTTGTAGCAGTCCACTTTTCAGCGTCACATCATCCATTGTGGGCACGACTTACGCTGATCAAACCCATGCGACGTTCTTTCAAAAATCAGTCATTTACAGAAATACAATCAGCCAGCATTTTTGATCCTAATTTAACGAGACACGGGGTAAGATTCTAGGGATCATAAGGAGGCAATCAGGGGAATAAAAAGGTGGCCAACTCACCTTTCCACCATGTGCGTCTGGTCCAGCGATAACCCATCAATTGCCGTGCATTCTGGACATTTGAACTTCTTCCGTGGGGTCACCTGCAGAAAAGGCAGGCCAGATATTGTCAAATATCAACAGAAGGGACATTAATCTCCTTGCACGGAGAGCGGCGCGATACTTCTGCAGCGTAAGCCGAGCCGTCTCCAAAAGGAGAGGGGGGGGGGGTGGGTGTTTAAAAAAAAAAAAAAAAAAGAAAAAGAAAAAAAAAAATGAAGAAAAAAGCCACTCCATTCCTCCACTCAGCTCCATCTGGCCCGGCTGCCTGCAAAATTCACAGGGGCCCAATAAAAACGGCTTGGAGGGGGTTTTTTTCCCTTCTGTAACCGAAAAGAAGTGGCGATGACAAGCTCCTTAATTCCTGTTTAATGACTGTTTTCTCACTGCCAAGGTCCCTGTATAAACACCATTTGTTCTTGCAGCCATAACAGCGATGAAATATAGCTTCCCATACTTCACCGGAACGTTAATCCAACAGGCTCTCTCTTTTGCTCACTCCACTTCATAGCTGACTGGCAAACTCTGCGAGACTCCCCGAATTGCCCAGAGGTGCCAAATTACTCTGCCGTGCCCTCATAGGGCTCAAAAAACTTTTTCCCAGCAAAAAAAAAAAAAAACCCCACACGCTTTATCTTCTAAAGACTTTTCTAGGAAAGGAGGCCGCCAGTCCCGGTTAAACGATGATGGACAGCCAGGAAAACGGACCCCGCTAATTGAAGGAACGCCTGGTGGCCTCTAAATCTCATTCCAAGTTGACAACGTTTGGAAATGAATGTACAGAGAGAAGGTCCAGACCTGAAAACGTGTCGAAACATGTCAGGAAATTAATTCCGGGATTAAAAAAAAAGTTCATTTAAAGCTGATGGCGCAATTAACATTCTTGCAATTAACATTCCTATAAATCAGCTGTTGCCGGGCCACGACAGAGCGAGCTGTGGACAGTTGGCAATTTCTTTCCTCCAGTGATCTCAAATAGTTAAAATGTATGTGCGTGGGTGTGTATACACACACACACACATATATAGAGCTATCATTTAAATTACCTTTTTCAGACCTCATCCAAATAGCTCAAATAACCACCAGAAATAACTGGTAAAAAGCAATTCTCTGTTCCCAGTTAGCAGGGAATTTTAACTAAAGGGCTTTTCTACCCTGGAAGGAGAAGACGACACCATACCAGGGGTAAATGAGAGAAAAACGAGAGAGAATTTTTACTAAGAGGGCTTTTCTACCCTGGAAGGAGAAAAAGACACCATACGAGGGGTAAATGAGAGAAAAACGAGAGAGAATTTTTACTAAGAGGGCTTTTCTACCCTGGAAGGAGAAAAAGACACCATACGAGGGGTAAATGAGAGAAAAACGAGAGAGAATTTTTACTAAGAGGGCTTTTCTACCCTGGAAGGAGAAAAAGACACCATACGAGGGGTAAATGAGAGAAAAACGAGAGAGAATTTTTACTAAGAGGGCTTTTCTACCCTGGAAGGAGAAAAAGACACCATACGAGGGGTAAATGAGAGAAAAACGAGAGAGAATTTTTACTAAGAGGGCTTTTCTACCCTGGAAGGAGAAAAAGACACCATACGAGGGGTAAATGAGAGAAAAACGAGAGAGAATTTTTACTAAGAGGGCTTTTCTACCCTGGAAGGAGAAAAAGACACCATACGAGGGGTAAATGAGAGAAAAACGAGAGAGAATTTTTACTAAGAGGGCTTTTCTACCCTGGAAGGAGAAAAAGACACCATACGAGGGGTAAATGAGAGAAAAACGAGAGAGAATTTTTACTAAGAGGGCTTTTCTACCCTGGAAGGAGAAAAAGACACCATACGAGGGGTAAATGAGAGAAAAACGAGAGAGAATTTTTACTAAGAGGGCTTTTCTACCCTGGAAGGAGAAAAAGACACCATACGAGGGGTAAATGAGAGAAAAACGAGAGAGAATTTTTACTAAGAGGGCTTTTCTACCCTGGAAGGAGAAAAAGACACCATACGAGGGGTAAATGAGAGAAAAACGAGAGAGAATTTTTACTAAGAGGGCTTTTCTACCCTGGAAGGAGAAAAAGACACCATACGAGGGGTAAATGAGAGAAAAACGAGAGAGAATTTTTACTAAGAGGGCTTTTCTACCCTGGAAGGAGAAAAAGACACCATACGAGGGGTAAATGAGAGAAAAACGAGAGAGAATTTTTACTAAGAGGGCTTTTCTACCCTGGAAGGAGAAAAAGACACCATACGAGGGGTAAATGAGAGAAAAACGAGAGAGAATTTTTACTAAGAGGGCTTTTCTACCCTGGAAGGAGAAAAAGACACCATACGAGGGGTAAATGAGAGAAAAACGAGAGAGAATTTTTACTAAGAGGGCTTTTCTACCCTGGAAGGAGAAAAAGACACCATACGAGGGGTAAATGAGAGAAAAACGAGAGAGAATTTTTACTAAGAGGGCTTTTCTACCCTGGAAGGAGAAAAAGACACCATACGAGGGGTAAATGAGAGAAAAACGAGAGAGAATTTTTACTAAGAGGGCTTTTCTACCCTGGAAGGAGAAAAAGACACCATACGAGGGGTAAATGAGAGAAAAACGAGAGAGAATTTTTACTAAGAGGGCTTTTCTACCCTGGAAGGAGAAAAAGACACCATACGAGGGGTAAATGAGAGAAAAACGAGAGAGAATTTTTACTAAGAGGGCTTTTCTACCCTGGAAGGAGAAAAAGACACCATACGAGGGGTAAATGAGAGAAAAACGAGAGAGAATTTTTACTAAGAGGGCTTTTCTACCCTGGAAGGAGAAAAAGACACCATACGAGGGGTAAATGAGAGAAAAACGAGAGAGAATTTTTACTAAGAGGGCTTTTCTACCCTGGAAGGAGAAAAAGACACCATACGAGGGGTAAATGAGAGAAAAACGAGAGAGAATTTTTACTAAGAGGGCTTTTCTACCCTGGAAGGAGAAAAAGACACCATACGAGGGGTAAATGAGAGAAAAACGAGAGAGAATTTTTACTAAGAGGGCTTTTCTACCCTGGAAGGAGAAAAAGACACCATACGAGGGGTAAATGAGAGAAAAACGAGAGAGAATTTTTACTAAGAGGGCTTTTCTACCCTGGAAGGAGAAAAAGACACCATACGAGGGGTAAATGAGAGAAAAACGAGAGAGAATTTTTACTAAGAGGGCTTTTCTACCCTGGAAGGAGAAAAAGACACCATACGAGGGGTAAATGAGAGAAAAACGAGAGAGAATTTTTACTAAGAGGGCTTTTCTACCCTGGAAGGAGAAAAAGACACCATACGAGGGGTAAATGAGAGAAAAACGAGAGAGAATTTTTACTAAGAGGGCTTTTCTACCCTGGAAGGAGAAAAAGACACCATACGAGGGGTAAATGAGAGAAAAACGAGAGAGAATTTTTACTAAGAGGGCTTTTCTACCCTGGAAGGAGAAAAAGACACCATACGAGGGGTAAATGAGAGAAAAACGAGAGAGAATTTTTACTAAGAGGGCTTTTCTACCCTGGAAGGAGAAAAAGACACCATACGAGGGGTAAATGAGAGAAAAACGAGAGAGAATTTTTACTAAGAGGGCTTTTCTACCCTGGAAGGAGAAAAAGACACCATACGAGGGGTAAATGAGAGAAAAACGAGAGAGAATTTTTACTAAGAGGGCTTTTCTACCCTGGAAGGAGAAAAAGACACCATACGAGGGGTAAATGAGAGAAAAACGAGAGAGAATTTTTACTAAGAGGGCTTTTCTACCCTGGAAGGAGAAAAAGACACCATACGAGGGGTAAATGAGAGAAAAACGAGAGAGAATTTTTACTAAGAGGGCTTTTCTACCCTGGAAGGAGAAAAAGACACCATACGAGGGGTAAATGAGAGAAAAACGAGAGAGAATTTTTACTAAGAGGGCTTTTCTACCCTGGAAGGAGAAAAAGACACCATACGAGGGGTAAATGAGAGAAAAACGAGAGAGAATTTTTACTAAGAGGGCTTTTCTACCCTGGAAGGAGAAAAAGACACCATACGAGGGGTAAATGAGAGAAAAACGAGAGAGAATTTTTACTAAGAGGGCTTTTCTACCCTGGAAGGAGAAAAAGACACCATACGAGGGGTAAATGAGAGAAAAACGAGAGAGAATTTTTACTAAGAGGGCTTTTCTACCCTGGAAGGAGAAAAAGACACCATACGAGGGGTAAATGAGAGAAAAACGAGAGAGAATTTTTACTAAGAGGGCTTTTCTACCCTGGAAGGAGAAAAAGACACCATACGAGGGGTAAATGAGAGAAAAACGAGAGAGAATTTTTACTAAGAGGGCTTTTCTACCCTGGAAGGAGAAAAAGACACCATACGAGGGGTAAATGAGAGAAAAACGAGAGAGAATTTTTACTAAGAGGGCTTTTCTACCCTGGAAGGAGAAGACCACCCCATACCAGGGTTAAATAAGAGAAAAAGGAGAGAGAATTTTTACTAAAAGGGCTTTTCTGCCCTGGAAGGAGAAGAAGACACCATACCAGGGGTAAATGAGAGAAAAAGGAGAGAGAATTTTTACTAAAAGGGCTTTTCTACCCTGGAAGGAGAAGAAGACACCATACCAGGGGTAAATGAGAGAAAAAGGAGGATGAAGTTAATACACTGAAGCCTACAAAATACATTGATACGAGTACGTACATCATGGTTTTAAGCTTTGTAAAGCTAAACTGCAGCAAAGTCCCACCTTAATGACTGATTTGCCAGTGACATTCGCCACAAGAAAATTCATGGCAATATCTTCACAGTTCATATGAGCGTCCACCCAGTTCTTGATGTCTCCAGGCATTTTGTAGGTGTAAAGGTAGTTGAAATACTGTAGGACAGAGGGAAAGAAGAGAATTTTAAATGCAGATGCTGGTAACAAATAGACTCTAAATATTTTGGTCACTGAACAGCAGGCAGCTAATGATGGCTTATGGGCAAATTGTGATACTACCTTCAGCAAAGGACTACTTTAGCAGAGAGAAAATAATTTTTGGGTGCTTAATTGCAAAATTACACCTTTCCTGACCAGCACACCAACTTCTTTACAACCAGTCTTCTTTGCTTAAACTGCTGGCTACAAAGCTACGTTGACCGTAAAATTCACTGCGTAGTTACAGGTAAAATTCACTGTGTAGTTACAGGTCAAGCAATCTGGCAAGAGTTCTTCTGGAAGTTCATGATGGTACCTTCATCCGGAAGTTCATAGAATCATAGAATCGTCTAGGTTGGAAGAGACCCTTGGGATCATCGAGTCCAACCATCTACCCTACTCTACAAAGTCATCCCCTACACCATGTCCCTCAGCACTGCATCTAAACGGCCCTTAAACACAGCCAGGGATGGTGACTCCACCACCTCCCTGGGCAGCATACCTTCATCCAAAAGTTCATGATGGTACCTTCACCCGAAAGTTCATGATGGTACCTTCATGATGGTAAGTTAATGGACGGTTTTACTTCACAGGCAGAGACACATTAGTTGTTTCTGCAGCAACTGAGAGAGACTTAGGGAAAGTTTGTAATCTGTTCACTGACTGTTGTAGAAAACATAATCCTGGCACCACAAAACACTCCCAGAACAGTGACAGAACCACATCCAGCTTTTCACAAAAGGTTCACGATGTCGTCTACTCCAAGTCATGTATTACCTTGTGATAAAACGCCGCTCCGGTGAGCACCATGGAGACTTCATTGGTCCATTCCGATTCGTATTTCCATTTGTTCATTTCGTGGTCCCAAAGGTGCAGGCGGCCCGGATAGCCAACCAACCGGTCGGGGAACTCTCTCCAAACCTGAGGAGGAGGAAGAGATGTGACACCTCGCTCCCCGGACGGCAAGGAAACACCAAGGTACGGGTGGGACATGTCTGCTTTGGGAGGGTAGAGTGGGGCAAAGACCACTTCAGTTCCTCTAAATGCTGGAAACTGCCTGGAAGTCCAAAAAATCCCAAGCTTGCTTGGACCCTACAGCTCAGAGAAGCTGCTCCCCAGAGCGAAAGGCCGGTAAAGCCATGCTGACTTCCCTGTGTTCATTTCGTGGTCCCAAAGGTGCAGGCGGCCCGGATAGCCAACCAACCGGTCGGGGAACTCTCTCCAAACCTGAGGAGGAGGAAGAGATGTGACACCTCGCTCCCCGGACGGCAAGGAAACACCAAGGTACGGGTGGGACATGTCTGCTTTGGGAGGGTAGAGTGGGACAAAGACCACTTCAGTTCCTCTAAATGCTGGAAACTGCCTGGAAGTCCAAAAAATCCCAAGCTCGGTTGGACCCTACAGCTCAGGGAAGCTGTTCCCCAAAGTGAAAGGCCGGTAAAGCCATGCTAACTTCCCTCTTGGAGAGAAATACAACTGACCAGTCAAAAAAAAAATCATAAATTAACATTAACTAAACCCAAGCGTGGTTAAAATGGACCTTTTGATGTTAACTTCAGTAGATACGGCTACGGCCTAACTACTTTCACAGCTGGCTTTGGATCTAACCAACCTGCTTCCTTGGATAGGAACAGGCTTAAAACAGGCTTATATTTTAATATTCCTGGTATTCTTTAGTGGGTGCTTGGATGGATCTACTGCTACATGGAAGGGCCTCTTTGCCCTTGACTTGTTCCAGACAGCTGGATGCAATCAAGATACCATCCTTGTCACTCCATCCATTATTTTGGAGCTGACTACAGGATCAAACACAGTAGACAAGAACAAGGCGAAGGGCATCATTAACGCAACCCCAGTTCTCCACACTGCTGGCCACATTAAATAATGGACAATTTTGGTGTAGGAAAAAAAAAAGGGAGAAAGGATTATAATTATTTGGAAGGGTCTGAACGCTATTTCCTTGCAAAAGACACAGTATGGCTTCTTGCTGATCAATAGTGAAGTTAGTGTTTATCTGCACTATTTGCAGACAAATTACACAATATGTGTCCTTTAATTCAAATAACTGCTAGGTTTGTTGGAAGAATACGAGTCTTGACTCTCCGACACACAGCATTAGGTCACAAGAGTTTTCTGTTTCAGGTTGGGAGTAAGAAAATACACAAACACGTGCAAGATGAACAACAACAACAAAACATCTCATAAATTCCCAATGGACACTTTACCAGCCAAGCTCTTTTCTCTGTGTAAAAGGCAAAGGAACGCTACGGTTGAATTTCCAGCATAGAAAGTGTTATCAGGAACTCCACCATCCTGCAAACCTCACCTCATCAGCAGATCACTTTGGGTACTTTTTCTTTCAAATGGGAGGCCTGGACTATAAGGGACTCCACGCAAGTATTTTGTCAAAGCAAATATGATAAAACAATCAGCCCGAAGTCGCTGCTTCTGCATCTCCATCTCTGTGATTTTGCATTACTAGGTACCTTTTCATCTCTACATCTCAACACGTTTTATTGCTGTCAGTTAATATCGCTTCAGAATCCCATGATGAGAGCAGTTATTATTTCAAACGTACAGATGAGGAAACCTGCCAAAAATCATACAGGAAACAAGAATGGGAACCAGATATTCTGACTCCCCCCCCCCCCCCCCCCCCCCAGGCTTAGTTTTGTAAGTAGGTCGTTGCATTTGGACCATGTGGATCTGACTATAAGAGCAAGTTTCTTCCCCCCCCCCCCCCCCCCCACTCCCTGACTTGTACTTTCTCCAGAAATCAATCTTTCTAGACAGTTCTAGGGCACAAGTACTGGGATAATATTTAGATAGGACAACACTCTAACACAGAAAGCAGAGATCATTTGGAACTCAAGGGAGAGAACTCATAGGACGCTGTTGTAAGTTGGTGCCATCAGGCAACTAAAAAAATTCAGATTTTTGGCAGGCAAGGCAGCGAGGGCTTGAGATACCTATTTTGACATGGTGTCAACAACATAAATGAAGAACCACCCCCCAAAAATATGGCCACTCCCTCTTCCAAAATTTTATTCCTCCCTATTTAGTACTCAAAAAATCAGTGATTAAATTTTAGTATTTTTTTAAACCTGATGATTAAAATGCCTATCTCCCAGCTGTTGGAAGGCAGCTTCCACATAAGCTACTGAGGTTCAACCAAGAGATTTGACAGAAGATGACAGATCTGGGGGAATGGCACGCATTTTAAAGGCAGCTGAAAGAAAGATTAAGCTCAGCTACTGCTTCCCAAAGACTTCAGTGCCTTCACAACACACAAACTGTAGATTCATACCCCTTCTAGTTCTTGCCCTTGGTGTCATCTTCATCTTTTATGTCCAAAAAGACCTAAAAGGCCAACTATAACATGTGTTACTCCTACAGATTTCTTTGTATCATCGTAAAGCTCAGTCCTACCCCAATTCCGGCCTCTGAAAATTGTCAGCTTGATGCATCTAAAAAAATAACCCGGTTTCTTTAAACAAAGATCCCTTTTAAAAAAGTAATGCTACCAAAGTCAATGGAAAAGCTTGGCTTTTTCCTAATGTTCATCACTAGCTCATTCAATGGTAATTCCTGGAAAGGCTCCAAAAGAGCTGCATCCAGCTCATTCCCCACATCCATACATATGTTTTGTGCCAAAATTAATATATACAGCTACTGCTTATAAGGAAGCTTTCAGAATAAAATCAGTGGTAATGATTCTTCTACTACTCTCTATTTTGTCCTACTGTCCGTTTTCTTGTTTGATCGTTGCCTGTAATTTATTAGCCCGTTAGGAATACATTCCATTTTAGCCAGTGATGATCTTAGCTTTCTCAGCCTAGAGAAAGATTGTCTGATTTAATACTGGTAAGGGACACATCCAAGGAAAAACACATTGCCAAGTGAAGAGGAGGAATGCTTCACTTGGACAAGGATTGGATGCTATTCCAACCATTCTGCTAGACAGCCCCGAAGATAAATATTCCTTGGACAAAGCATCTCCCAGATGAGAAGTCAAATAGAAGTTCTGACTTTGTAGCTTTACTGAAAATCTTGTACAAGACACCAAGAGAAAATGTCAGGAATTTCATTTCCAAGTCGAGTTCCCTGACATCAACAGCCTCCCTGGAACAGCCCCCCATGGTCACCTCGTCACAGTTGCCTCTTGGCAACCTCTCCCCCAGTCCTCAAAAGGATGGTCCAAGTCGAGTTCCCTGACATCAACAGCCTCTCTGGAACAGCCCCAATGGTCACCTCTTGGCAACCTCTCCCCCGGTCCTCAAAAGGATGGAGGTTGATTTTATTAGAAAAGAAAGCAAACTGTAAACACAAAGCCCAATAAAAAAAAAAATAAAGTGCTGCTTCACGTGCACACAACCTGTAAAATAACTTCAATTTGAAAAAGAGCTTTGAATGTGGCCACCTATAGATAAATCTTTTGGTAAGCGTGAGTTATATTATTCCTTATATAAAGGAATACTGAAAAATACATTTTTAACTGTCAAAATGGGTACGGAAGAATTCTTCTAAAGAAGGCATTCAAACGTTATGATGATTTTAGCCCAGTGAAATATGCAACTCATCAGAGCTGATGTTTGCTTTTTTTTTTTAAAGAATGCCAGAGACATGAAGTACCGAAAAACAGCTCGGAGACAGAATCAGGCAAAAAGCTTCCAACAGGAAAAAAAAAAAAAAACACTTAGCAATGCCCCAAATGGTATTTTCTACGAACAAAAAATGCAGACTCAAACCAATAACCTCAATTTAGATTATTTCTATTATTGCTGTAATAAAAATTACTTTGTCTTTGTAAGGACAGGGTGCTGGCTGAGTATATAATATCTTCATAAAATCTTACATCTACAATACATCACTATCTACATAAAATCTTCAGAAACTTCAGACTTGGAAACTGTTGTCCCCACTTTTCAAGCTGAAACACATAGATGGGAACACCACCAATGTTCAGTCTCACATTTAAACACCAAACACTTCAGGAGCAGCCAGTAGTTCCGCTTCAATTTTTTAAGATGATGATAATCTAAATATTGACTCTCTTCTTTTTTTTTTTTTTTGGTGGGGTCTCCCTGATACCACCTCTGTGAACAGCAAAGATTGGTAAGTGGGGGGAAAAAGTTGTCTAGCTCTAATTGTTATTCTTCCAGTGCCCCAAGTCACGCCTGTGATTCCATGTAGCTTCACAGAAATGCTTTTTTCAGAGCCAGAATTTCACGAGTGCTCTTCTGCTACCTTAATACAGCAGCACACAGGGACTATTTTTCTGCTTGCTCCAATAGATTTACGCAATGTCATAAATCACTGTACCATAATAGCTCACTTTTAACAAGTGAAAAAAAAAACGTCTGACACTTTGAGTGTTACTATAATTTTTTATGGCTGAAAGTGTACAGAGATCAAAGTTTTCTGGGTTTTTTTTCGGCTTGCTCTATACATTCAGACAAGTCTGTGACAGAGGGGGTTTTGCCACATGTTTAAATGTAAAGTCTCAAGGATGTCAGGAGGAGAAAAGAAAATTACTGAATGTCACGTTTCCAACCCTCCTTATGACCAAAGCAGAAGCAGACATACTTTTAAAAGAAAACTTTCTAGTAACGTTATACGCTGCTACTGTTCCCACCGGATTCCCCTGCAAATGAGTCAGGAGCTTGAGAGATACTTTTCTGGTAACACACATAAACAGATAAATAAATTATCACAGGCTGAGGACAATTTAAACATCTGGGAGCCAGCTCGTGCCTGTCAAGCAAGTCATAGACACTCAGGGACAGGAAAGATCAATCTTCAGCCCCCTGATTTCTGTGCCAGAGAGCAGGAACTACATCACCCCCCCCTCTATAGGAGGAAAATTGTGTATTTATAAAATAAGCCGCTCTGCTTCCCTATTCAAAGACATTTCTGCTCATTGATTTCACAGGGGAAAATAAAAAGCAACCTCAAAATATAAAGATTCAAACTACCCACATGTTTGTCTCCATTATCTGCTCAAGAAGGCATTTGGATTTTCCATGGATGTGGCTGTGGAGTAAGCCGAATTCTCAGAAGCAAAAAAATAGGATTTATAATAAAATGCAAAAAAAAAAAAAAAAAAAAACCTGCAAAAGCAATAGTTTTCAGTCTGCCAGACTAAACAGTCCCGTGTCCAAACGGTTACATTTGCACACTGAATATAAGCTCTGTTACTCAGATAGTCCCTGCAACCCATGCAGATGGTCCACAGGCGGCCAATAAATTAGCCAGCGCCGCGCGACAGCCAGACCCGAGGATGAAGAGCTCCAAGTCCCAACTGCCACCTAATCACACCGACTCCGGGGGAACTCACATCAGCTTCTCTTTGCCTCCTTTTGTGGATTATTATTTTTTTTTTTTTTTTTTTCATGAGGATAACCCTTTCCTGCCAAAGTGACGAGTCAGTCATCTTCCCCACTGAGGATGTTTAAATTAACGCCGCAGCCACACGAGCGCCGGAGTTCTCCTTCTCACCACTTCTGGCTGACACGGCTGAAACTCAGCTGCAGCTCCAACCTCAGCCTCGAAGCCCTCCCAGCCTTCTTTGCCAGGAGCAGAGACTCATTTGGAACTACTTACGAGCTCATTTGGGGTTTTAGAAAACTTATTTTTATTTACTCTGAGACAGAAGATCAAACTGCAAAGGGAGCCAGGATTTACACAAGTTATGGATTTGTTATCTTTCATCCCGTTAGAGTTCAGCCTCAAAACTAGTAGTTTTAGCACCAGCAGAGACCAAAGTAAGGCAGGTTGCAGAAGAGCCAACGCTTGAGTGCTCTGCTGTCACAACACAGGGCTTAAAACATCCAGTGGAGACACCAAAGTACAGAAAAAGGCCCACGTGGCCAAAAAAAAATAAACCCCACCCCTTCCTTGAGTTGTCTTCTCTTCATTCCATCTCTCACACTTCATGTACTAACCCGTTCCTCTTAACCTGGCAAGGGAAGTATTTCCTTTCTGGAGACACACATGATAGATTAAACCTCTGTCTCCACTACTTAACATCTCTGTTATTACATCAGCAAACCTACATTACCGCAAGTCACTTCTGGAGTCCAAAAGCTCGTTACTTGTTAACAGCCCCTTTCACTCGAGAGGGAATAAGAGCCATATTTTACCACAGACGTATTCACATTAAAGAAATACCCCCAACTTCTTTTAAAAAACTAGCTTCTTGTGTTAACAGCTACACTTAAGATCGCTAAAAAATGAGACAACCATCACATTTTGTTTGCTTTCTACCCTTGAGAAAAGTGGTTTTCATTCTTTCACCCAACTTAGATAATAAGTTTTGTGTTCTACCTCTCATTTATGAAGCCTGGTGTTGTTTTGCTCTTGATACTGCAGGTACAAGTGTGACTAAATGATTCAAACCTTTCTTAAAATACGGTATTACCTTTTCTGGCACTTCTGATTTGTTTATAAATATAGCATGTTTGTCTTAAACATACAAACCTAACAGTAAAGTCAGATTAAGCACTGTGTGGTATAGTCAAATACAAAAAAGGAAGACAAAAATTAACTCATTCAGACCCAAGTTTTGGAAGGGAGGCAAAAGCGCTGCTTTAAGTTAGTGCACTTTTTAACAAACAACTCAAATTCTTGTTGTTGATACCCTCATGCCAACAGCAGCTGTGGAAGCTTTGCCTTTTCAAGCCTACGATACGCATACAACTCAAATTCTTGTTGTTGATACCCTCATTCCAACAGCAGCTGTGGAACTTTGCCATTTCAAGCCTACGATACGCGCGTCCCCTCCTTGACATTCTTCAGTTCCTCTTTTTGTGGCACTCCACCTTATTTCAGCGCGTCCTCAAGAGGCCTCTCCTCTGTTCTCAACACTTAATCTCTCAAACTTGTCTTGTCCATCAAGACGCGGTAACTTGGACAGCATTGCTGATTTCTCTGAAAACCATTTGAAACCATTAAGACGAACGCGATTCCCAGACTCCTGACTGCTTCCATTCCACCAATTACACAACATTCTTGGAGTCTCTTGGCTTTAATCTGCCACTTACTGAAAATTTTCTGGTAGCTGGCAGTTTTTTCCATAAAATAATGACTAGCTGTAGAAATATTTCAGTCAGTACTGAACTATTAGAGTAAAGAGAGATGCAACAATCTGAATGAGCAGCCCGTGCCGTGATGCCTCCACTTTCTATATGCATGTGATGCTAAAGTGGAGAGCCTAAGAGACAGGGAAAAAACCCCAATTTTCTTACCTCGTAGCCAAACTGGAGTTCATCCGAGGTCAGCATGATGATATCATCATCGATAGCCAACACGGCTTCTGTTTCGATCTCGTCGTAGGGGAAGAAGCGGTTACTCAGTTTGTTTTCTGCAGTCCTAACAACTTTCAAAGGAACACGGATCTTTGGCCAGAGGGAATCTAGAGAGGGAAATAAAAAGAAATGGAATTCAATATTATACTTTACTTCTCAACAAGCCTCCACGTCTGTCTTAGCTTCTCTTCACTCTTTTTGGCCTCACATCTTAAACAGAAGCTTCTTAATGGCCAACGTACCCCCGACTTTGAGTGGAGCAAACAAGGAAGTACATAAAGGCAAGACAAGAATCAGTGATATCTGGAGGGAAGGGATGGCATCTAGAGGGACTTGGCCAGGCTTGAGAGATGGGCTGGTGCAAACCTCATGAAGTTCAACAAGGCCAAGTGCAAGGTCCTGCACCTGGGTCACAGCAACCCCAGGAACAAATACAGGTTGGGTGGAGAACGGACTGAGAGCAGCCCTGAGGAGAAGGACTCGGGATTGTTGGTGGATGTGAAGATCAACATGAGCCAGCAACGTGCACTGGCAGCCCAGAAAGCCAACCCCATCCTGGGCTGCATCCCCAGCAGCGTGGCCAGCAGGGCCAGGGGGGGGATTCTGCCCCCTCTGCTCCGCTCTGGGGAGACCCCACCTGGAGCTCTGTGTCCAGCTCTGGAGTCCTCAGCACAGGAAGGACATGGACCTGTTGGAACGGGACCAGAGGAGGCCACGGAGATGCTTGGAGGGCTGGAGCCCCTCTGCTGTGAGGACAGGCTGAGAGAGTTGGGGGGGTTCAGCCTGGAGAAGAGAAGGCTCTGGGGAGACCTTAGAGCCCCTTCCAGTCCCTCAAGGGGCTCCAGGAGAGATGGGGAGGGACTCTTTGTCAGGGAGTAGAGCATAGGATGAGGGGGAATGGTTTTAAACTGGAAGAGGGGAGACATAGATGAGATCTTAGGAAGCAATTCTTTGTTCTGAAGGTGGTGAGAGCCTGGCCCAGGTTGCCCAGAGAAGCTGTGGCTGCCCCATCCCTGGAGGGGTTCAAGGCCAGGCTGGATGGGGCTTGGAGCAACCTGGTCTGGTGGGAGGTGTCCCTGCCCAGGGCAGGGGGTTGGAACTAGATGATCTTTAAGGTTCCTTCCAACCCAAACCAGTCTGTGATTCTATGAAATTTGAAGTGTAAATAAGGCAGACACTCTTATAAGTAACAGTAACCAGATTAACCCCTGGAGAAAGTTAACAAGGAAGAAGGCAATTCTGTGCATCTTGTCCTTGACTGAGACTAGGTATTATTGTAGAAGATGTGATTGAGTTAGATAGAAGTCATTGAATTGAAAATAACCCAAACCATTCTGTGATTCTATGAAATTCAAAGTGTAAACAAGGCAGATGCTCTTATAAGTAACAGTGATTAACCTCTGGAGAAAGTTAACAGGGACAGCAGGCAATCTTGTCCTTGACTGAGACTAGGTAGAAGATGTGATCGAGTTAGATAGAAGTCACTGAATTGAAAAGAAAGGTGACGTGGTGACTCACGACTTACAAGTCAACCCACATGATCTTACCCTCCCCTTCTGCCTCAAACTCTATGAAAACTTGCTCTCAGGAGCGAGTGGCCACGTCCTCACTGTCACTGTGCCTCTCAGATTGAACAGCTCACACAACACTCTTCAACAAAATTCAGAGCTGCACACTGCTTACAGACACCAGGGTCCAAAAACTGCTTAAAGACACCAGGGCCCAACCACTACTTCACCGGGAAAACCAAGCCATCTTTCCGAACTACCCCCAGAGTCCTCAAAAGTCAGTTTTTCTTGGAGCTTTCAGAAAGAAGGATTGGCACGCGTGGGTGGCCAAAAGACAGCAGAAGAAATACTGTGATATTTACTGGCAAAATTTTTATTCCGCTTCCTACCTTGAGGTTTTTACTGCGAGACTGAAAAAGTGACCGTAAAATCTACCTTTATCTGGGTGGTCTTATAGACCATGGCCTGTATTTGCCATCTCTGCAGGTTCTTGTCCAGTTCTACTCATCTCTTTTTCTTCTAGTAGAAGGCAAGAGACGCCACCCCAAACACCAGTGTACCCTTCAGTGGCATTACAGTGCAATGAGGAACTCATTTTATTGTCAGGTCTTTGAAATCCCCTGCTCGAACTGTAATCTGAAATAACGATTCCAGTAAGGCACCATTGAAATTCCCAAAATTTTCATCTTACTAGTCATCTGAACCTCAGGAGGGAATAACACCGAGCAACGGGAACCCATTATTGCAGATGAGTGCTTTCAAGTCAACTCATTGCTTCCTTACTGGTTTACCCTACATCACTGAAGCATCCGAATTTATAAGAGTTAGAGTCACAAAGATATATATCATGGCCTCCTAAAGACTGCAGACTGTTTAAGGTCTGCAAGCTACTTAAAGGCCCTAGGCTAATTGCCTAGAATTATCTAATTATAATCCCAGTATCACTAGATCGGCTAGATCCCCCAAAAGATTACATTTTATATATGTAAAGTTGTCTATTGATCACACTTTTCTTCCTTTCATGTCTGCTACACACATAAACACGCACACACGTTTAAGGTCTGCAAGCTACTTAAAGGCCCTGGGCTAATTGCCTAGAATTATCTCATTATAATCCCAGTATCACTAGATATCCCCAAAAGATTACATTTTATACTCCGAATTTATAAGAGTTAGAGTCACAAAGATATATATCATGGCCTCCTAAAGACTGCAGACTGTTTAAGGTCTGCAAGCTACTTAAAGGCCCTAGGCTAATTGCCTAGAATTATCTAATTATAATCCCAGTATCACTAGATCGGCTAGATCCCCCAAAAGATTACATTTTATATATGTAAAGTTGTCTATTGATCACACTTTTCTTCCTTTCATGTCTGCTACACACATAAACACGCACACACAAAAAAAAAGTCCCCCAACAAAGATCTTATTTCAGTGCAGGAATACACTGAAACAAAAATTGAAACCAAAAAATCACTAGGATTGAAATAAATCATACTTCAGAAAAGTAAGCAAGCATGGACGCTTCAAACTTCTGCAAACCAGCTCTTTCAGAGCTTAAGGACAGACACGTCACTTGCTTAAAAATACAGTAACAGAAGAAAAGTAACGAAAAGTGTATGAAAAATTAAGGTGTAATCTAATTTTAATCAGCATACATCTCAGACATCAGGAAATCCTGTTAAATCCAGGATTTACTAAGGTGTTGGAAAGTCTCTCAAAATGACCAATTCTCAAAAAGAGGTATTTTACTGTAAAAAAAAATTGTATTTGAGAAACATAATACACAGTTTCTGAATTTGGACTGAAATTAACAAATGGAAAATACTACTATTTTGCAGAAACTTTGAACAAGCCATTAGGGTACCAATTCCTCCGCAGCAGGGAAGAGGGAAGAAAGCAGAGAGGCTGATCAGGAAATCCTGTTAAATCCAGGATTTACTAAGGTGTTGGAAAGTCTCTCAAAATGACCAATTCTCAAAAAGAGGTATTTTACTGTAAAAAAAAATTGTATTTGAGAAACATAATACACAGTTTCTGAATTTGGACTGAAATTAACAAACGGAAAATACTACTATTTTGCAGAAACTTTGAACAAGCCATTAGGGTACCAGTTCCTCTGCAGCAGGGAAGAAAGCAGAGAGGCTCATCTGATCCTGAAGGTTGTGGCACCTACAGCCTGAGGTGGAAAGGAGATGTCATGACACCACGACACCTGGGTCACCACTTTGGCAGCCTGGGCAAGAATGGCCATCACAAATTAGGAGAGAAGAGTGTTTGAAGAACACTTACACTTGCTCTTTGGCAACAAGACTCGGGGCGTTCTTGGCCCTGTGTGCTATTTAGGACTACGGATGTGCTGGTGGCAGGAGCTGCCCACAGAACACAGAGTGTGGTCTTCTGAACACAAACCCAGCAGTTTTTCCCAACTTTTCCAACTGCAACTTCCATTTCTGAGGGGCTCACGATCCCCACCAGCCACACGCAGGGCTGTATTTCTGGCCAGCCCACAGCTGCACTGGTAAGTCTGAGGGGGGATCTGATCAACACCTATAAATACTTCAAGATTGAGTGTCAAGAGGATGGGTCTGGTTTTTTTTTCAGTGGTGCCCAGGGACAGGAGAAGAGGAAACGGGCACAAACTTGAACATAAGGAGTTCCACCTAAACATGAGGAGGAACTTCTGTGAGGGTGGCAGAGCCCTGGCAGAGGCTGCCCAGAGAGGTGGTGGAGTCTCCTTCTTTGGAGACATTCAAACCCACCTGGACACGTTCCTGTGGGACCTGCTCTGGATGGACCTGCTTTGCCAGGGGGTTGGACTGGATGATCTCCAGAGGTCCCTTCCAACCCCATAGCATTCTGTGAAGTCCTGCAAGTCCCCAACTCACAGCAAATTGTTCAAGCACAATTTCAAGATGATTTCCACAAACTGCAGAATTAAAAAATGTCCCTTAATTACATTCCTATTAAAAACACTCATATAGAGAAGAGCAGCAAAAAACACCTCCCATCCTCTGAATATGCATTTCTCAGCTACGGCTCCCAGTGAATTACATGAAAGATGTAAGGAAGAGAAGGGAGGAGAATCACAAGAGAGGCAACTTTATCACAACCTAAAGGAACAAAAGGAACACCCTCTCACCCCAAAATACCCTTTCCCTTTCCACACCTCCTTAGGCTGCCCATCAGATGTCTGCCACAAAAATGTAAGTAATGTAAGTTTGCAAAACGCTTATGTATAAAAATGAATTCCTTGTCTGAAACTGTTTCTCAGCATTAAACGAGCTGTTACATCATACATAAAAGAGGGATCATTAAAAACAATTATATTTCTGTGGAGCATCTGGCCTCTTTTCAAAGAGAAACAGCACCATCACGTCAAATGGCATCTCTCCCCATATCCTTGTATCTCAAACTGGGAAGCTGACAGCATCCAAAGGAGTCCTTTAGCAGGAGATGCCTTATTATCTATCTAGGCAACAGATGGGAGGGTATTTATATAGGAAATTACTTGCTCTAATTATTAACCATCCATTTCCAGTTTTCAACACTCAACCTAGGGAAAGTGAGAATCGATACACCTCTACAGAGCTGGCCAA